GAGAGAGAGAGAGAGAGAGAGAGAGAGAGAGAGAGAGAGAGAGACTGCTGTACTTCTGTTGCAGCTTGCTTGAGGCATCCACCTTCAATCTTCACACATCTCTTTACTAGGCAAACCACTAAGACCCCCCTTTGTCAACCCCTCAGTGTTCAGGACTTTCTTCCAAGCCAACTCTTCTTGCAAACATCAACTCTGCGCGTCCAGAACCAGACAGTGAAGCCAAACTTTTTAAGCCACACCCTGTGCTGTCCACTGCACATCGACAAACCAATTCTAAAAACTCGTGTAAGCATCTTTGCTATAAGGTTTTTATTTGAATGTGGTGAAACGTCACTCTTACCTATGAGCCACAAACCCTGGAGCAACACTGGGCTTGTATCAGAACCTTATGTCAAAAAGAAGAACAACTATGCATGGTAATGGCTATCTCTACAAATTAAATGAATGCTTAATGATGCTAATAATAGATGGCTATTAATTAGGACCAATGGTCTCTGATGAGCCATTACAAATCAGTAAAAAAAAAAAATCCAATAACCACATCTTCATAGAGTGACTTCTTATAAAATCACTAATAATTTATTCTCCAGAAAGATCTGACAAGTGGACATATGCCAACAATTAGGGGATACAAAGAAGACTATACCATTAAAAAGTTATTTCTAAAATCAAGAATACTTTTAATTACTTGATTAGACATCTCTAAATTCTGAAATTGTGCATGCATGCACACGCACACACACACACACACATGCACACTAAACTGCTTCTAATCTTACAGCAAAGAAATAATAGGTTATAGCACACTAGAAGTATAAATATTATTTTGACATGCACCCTCAGCACTCATTTCTGGTGTCATTTTATATCGATCCTTGCTTTGTTGCTTTCCTTTGTACTTTTGGTGAATAATAACTGTTGTAGAAGGTCAGAGAAAAAAAGGAAGAACCTCAGCAAGATGGACTGACACGGTGTCTCTAACACTGGGTTCAAACGTAACCACAAGTGTGAGCCCGGCAAGGGCAGTCGCTTGTTCTGTTGTACACGGCTGGCTATGAGTTAACACCTAACAACATCGTCTTGTGTTTCTCTCATCCTCAAAAGCTAAAATATCCCTAGGAAGAAGAGAAATTACAAATAGAATAAACATACTAACATGCTTATAGCTAATGGAATTAGAATTAAATATAGGCAAACGCTTTCAGTTGCAAAGACATTGAACAAGGGCGTTTTGGAAAGAGACTTTGGCTTATGGTACAATCCTCTGGCCCAGCATCCTGAACTGGGATTGTATGAAATGTACTGGTCTTAAATTTCTTTTTACAAAAAGGCACATACTGTGGGAAAAAATAAAGACATTCTATGTTTCTTAGTGATGAAGACAACTCTAATGAGGAACTGGGCATGAGTATGGTGTGGTCTAGTGCCACTTGACCATGCAAATCCCTACTTCCAATAGTCATGTTTAAGGACATGTTGCAAACATAGGGCCATCACCTGTAAGAAATCTCCTAAAACTGTGCTTTCATCATGCGGTATTTCCACAACCTACGTACCATGCGAGCCTGGAATGATGCTGGGATGAAGGACTGGTTGGACAGATAGAACACCTTGGAGGAGTCCTTTAGGACATAGATTTGGCCAAAATCAATGCTAGTGGGATGTACGTAGACAACTGGGCCTTCTCCAATGCTCTTTATGCGACATACCTGCATTCCATGAGAGAGAGAAAACAAAAGTTTCTGGTCACCCCTTTAATAAAAGCAGGGACATAAAAGGCGATCATTCTAATTCATATTCCTTCTCAGTGCAGAGGGATAAAGGTGTTGCCAGGCTGGGCATCTAGCTGGAATACCTCCACCAGGAAGCTGGGTGGTGTCCCCAGGTTGGCCCGATCGGTGTGCACTGAAGAGGAAACAGAATCTTGTCCCCCTGGCTCCTTCTTGATACTCTAGCCTCAAGCACATTTACACAAGGTTAGAGACCTGCCCTGGAGAGTTAGGCAGGGCTAGGCTGGGGTCCTAGTTCTGTTGCTTTACTAGCACGGACAGGACAGGTCATTGCATATGTACAGGTCAGAGGCTGAAATCCATCCCTTGCTCTGCTTCCCTCAAGCTGCTCCCTCGGCAGGGTTGTACAGAGGAAGCAGGGGGTAGGCTAGCAGGGCCCAGGACTGGTGGCACAATTCAGGGCCTGCCTTTGAGATGCTGCTGCAAAGGCCACATAGCTTGGTCTAAGACACCTTAAACGGAGAAAAGCAAAATATTCGTCTCTTAAACTCTCTACATGATTGACATCAATTCAAACAAATGCAGGCTGCCATTGCTATCTCCCAAGTGAAGCAAAGTTCTACCGATGCCTTTCCTGTTGGGCAGACTCCTTCAGGTGCCCAGGATCATCCCATAATCCAGTGTAAGTCACAGAGAGCCTTCCTTGCTCCCCTCTCCCCTTACTGGGAGAGAAAGGATTTCGCCTCACAGCTTACACAAGTGACTTGAGGCTACAAGTCCAGTCGATATACACAGGCAAAGAGACATGGTGAGCAGTCCATGATTTGACAGACCATAGGCTACAAGCCAGTGACATTAAACCCAGTTTCAAACCAGACATACCCATGAAGGTGGTTTTTAAAAAGTCAGGCTAGCCTCTTCCCCTTGGTGGAAATACACCTGACATTCCACTTGGCTTAAAAGCAATTGCTATAAATCATCCTGACTTTCGTATGTATCAATATGTTTATTGATTCTCTAAATAACCCGGCCCTGGGATTTTACCATTGCAGAATGCAAGCTTAAAATGAGAACTGCCAAATTGAGGCTACGTCAGTAGGGCATGTGCCTTGATATATCTCACAGAAAGTCCAGCCATGGCAATTGTAATTCTGAAACACTGGCTCTCACCATAGGAGGGTCTGGGCTTCCGAAGACGAAGATGCGGACTATGGACCAGTGTTCTCCAGTGACCTGCGTCTCCAGGGCCAGAGGAATATCCATGGTGCTGTGGGGAGGGATGAGCCCACAGGGGCTGGGGCTGGAGAGCAGCACTCCAGGTGCATTCTTGTAGACCTGCTGCAGGGAGAGAGAAGCCAGGGGACAGTCATGCCCAGACACAATGTGAAATGACTACCAAGCAATTTGAAAACAAACTTTGTTCTGAGTCCATGGAACCTCTTTAGAAAGGTTAAAGTTCAAGCAAGAAGGGGGCGGGGTGATTACTGCAAGTTAGTGAGAAGTTTGGTCCAATGGAGAGGGTGCAAAGTTCTCAATCCAACATTCACGACAGACAGAGGCCTCCTTTTTCTCCTGAGGAGCAGCTGGAGAAAATATCACGGATCCCACTTCCTCCCTGTGCTTCCAGTCCTCGGCTTTCCTAAACGGTCCTCCTGGACCATTTCAAGTGAATAATTCAGGTGCATTTAAGACATCCACATCCACCTCTATTTAGTTGCGAGACATTTTTATCACCTCCAAAGGAAACCCCAGGTCCATGAAGCAGTGTTTCCCAATTCTTCTCTCCCCAACCCCCCACCCACCCTAGCCTTTGGCAACCACCAATCTGTTCTGAGGATTTGCCTGTTTCTCAACATTTCATATAAATGTAGTCTTTTGAGATTGACCATTGTTTCACTTCACACAATGCTTTCATCGTGTTGTAGCACAACAACATTTCGTTTCTAATGGTCAAATAGTATTCCTGGTATGGTTATACTAGATTTTAAAATCCATTCATCAGCTGATGAACATCTGAGTCAATTCTCTTTGGCTGTTGTGAATAGGGCCACTAGGAACGAGCATCGTGGATCAAGATATGCTTTCTCAATGAAGGAAGGGGTGGATTACTACAGTCCAGTATTTACCAATATGGGTCTCCAGAAAACATGGCTCACCATCCTGGCTTCTCTGAGCAAGACTTGCTTTGGTCACGCTTCCATTTAAAATGAACACAGCGACGAAGTCTGAAGTCACAGTTCTGCCTGTGTTTTCAATGGTGGCCCTGTCCCCCTTTCTCTGGAACCTGTGTCTGTTCCGTGAGCTCCCTGCACTTCTTTGCACTCCGATGGAACTTGTAGTCAGATAAAACCTCCATTTGGATTTTTGGCATGAATATGTATGTGGAGGGCTGTACGGGTACAACTGAGATTTAAACCAAAGTAGGCTTTTGGTAAGTCACATCTCATGAGTAGCTTCCATTACTCTCATCTGTATAAATCTTTCTCCATACTTGCTTACATTATTTTTAGTCTCCTTGCCTAGCTAGGTGTCGTGGCGTTGTAGACAGATAAATGCCACCAGACAGTAAGATATAATTTTTCTTTCTTCATTCTTCTAGCCTTCTGGTCCTACAAGCACTGATAAATACTGCATCACTGTGTCTCAGAGAAGCTGCTCACGTCATGACCATGGACTCTGTAAGTGAGCACTCCTAGCCCTGCCCTGTTCCCCATGCCTGGTTAGCTTCTAGACAATTATTTGCAAGTGCAACTTCTAGATACTGGCTTAATCGACCCCCGTGCCTCTTTATCAAGGCCATTTTTCATGGGAAATTAACAACTGTTTACACCTGCAGCTGCTCGTGCGTACAGATGGCAACCCAGCTGTGGTTTAATAACACCTCAAGATGACCCAAGGATTAAAAAGCTGAATCATATGAGGTCACGTGCTCAGGAGAAGTTCTTTCTCATCGAGTGAGTCCCGCCAAAGGAAAGCAAACACCGACTGAAGATAAAGTGACTTACCTGAGGCAGAACCTCATAGAATCCTGGGAGGTCATCTGGATTGATCAGCTGGATTGACTTCTTATACGGGTACTTTAGGAAGCAGCGGCCAAAGTCCACCTCAGTCCAAACCAAACGAAGTGCAGGTACAACACACCTGCTCGGAGGAGCCCATTTCGGAATTCAAAAGGATAGAGACCTTGTTTACATATAGAGAACGCAGCGTCCCAAGTTACAGACACCTGTCACTGTCAAATTGTGGTCTCCTCTAATAACTACATTGAATCATTTTCAAACCTTTCCCCCCTGTCAGCTCTCTCCCTCAACCCCTAGTCACCACTTTTTAGTAATGATTTTTAAAAAGGACCAGAAGCAGGATTCCTGAAGCAGCTGTCTTCTGTGGGTAGTGACTAATATTTCCATTGTTTTTGTGGTGGTGGTGGTGGTGGTGGTATTTGGCAGTCCTTTGGCAAGCGGCCCCCATGGGACAAGTTTTTAAGGGTGGTGGATCTGTTTCCATGTCAAAAAGTGCCAATGCCACCAGCATGGGGTCCAAAGTAGCTGTGACACTTTGGACCACTCAGAAAGACCCCCAAGGTCTAGCAGTGGCTCACGCCATATAAATAATGGTGATAATTCTAATTCCCATGCAGAACAGCTGTCTTGGATGAGCAGGCACAGGCAGCTGCTCACCCCAGAACTGGCACCAGGGGTCCTCAATATGGAGGGGGTGAAGTGGGAGGGCAGGGAGGGGAAGGGATTGAAGCCTTCAGTTTCCAGCTGCCTGAGTATCAGGGATTTGGGTTTGGCTCTGCGTTTGCCTTTGTGACTCTCAGCGTCTAACCAGTCATCCTACATTGGTACAAACGCTGGTTTCTCAAGTAGACAGAGCCAGGTTCAAATGCTAATGTTATTAGTTATAACCTGTGTGACCTTGGGCAAGTTACGTTCCCCAAGCCCCATTTTCCTCAGACATAAAATGAAGAGAGCAGCACTCAGGGTTGTCATGGGACATGCAGGTGCTGATGGAAAGAAAGGGTGTGGGCCAGTGACCTGAAAGTGTCCAGAAAGAGGCAGTCCGCCTAGTCGGGGCACAGCAAGCTGTCGCTGCTGACTCTTTGGGGTGAATGACGTTAGGAAGCGAATTCTGGAAACTGCTCTTATAGTGCGTTCCAATAGATTACCCCCAAAGTAAGGACATGAAAGATAGTTTCTCTTAAACCCCAAAGTTCGCATTTCCCATTTGGCCTGGGTTGAAGTGTCCATTTTCAGTGAGAAGGGGAATTGTTAGTTGACCAATAACTTTATCAAAGCTACTCATTTCCTGCCTCAAATGCTGTGCCTGAAAAGTATCTATTCTTTGACTTGGATCACGGGTCCATGTTGGGAGGGAACTCAGAAAAAAGACAAGACGAAAGGTGAACTTGGGTATGGAGAGGACCAGATGAAAGAGTTCCTGTTGTTTCCAAACACATCCACACGAGGCCAGGCAGGCCACTGGCAGTAATGCTAGGAGGCAGGGCAGCGGAGTGCCCTCTGAGTAAAGGGAATCTGATGAAAGTTCTTTGAAGGCTGGTCTTTGACCTCATCTGAGCCTAGGACACACGGAATGGTACTGGTTATTATCTGTCTACCAACCAGCACATTGGCATCTTCTGTAAGGTCCATCCTCATGAGATTCACGAGGTCTCGGCACTGGCCTATTAACCTATCAGAATTTCACTGCCATTTCCCCGTGGCTGGCACTTTCAGACACACATGTTATTGTCTGGATCTGGACAGTCCTTGCTTTGGGAAGCGTGTGGCCCTGGGGTGTTAGTTAGGACCACGGTCATCATCTGTGCCAGCACCCTGGTCACCTTGTCAGTAAATGGCAGAGCCAGGATTATAGCCAGGCTCCCAAGCCCACTGCTGCCTCTACAAGGAGAGAAGTGGGTGATGGTTCTGCAGAATTTCAGCATTTATCGAGAAGAGCTTCACATGGGGGCCCACTGGTGGCCTGTAGGTGCAGCCACAGTCATGGCATCAGGGAGCAGGGGACTTTGCTAAAGGATCATCTGCCATGGAAATGACATAACTCTGGGGTACAGCATGAGGGGGGCTTCAAAAATTCCTGGGAAAATGCCACTCTCTTTTCATTCCATCTCTCCATGAACTTATTGAAGTCCCCTTGTAGAGATAAAAATAACCTGCAACAGCTTACCTCTTCCTGCTCGAGTTGTCTTTTCTGATCCACACTTGGAGAGTCAAACCCATTAACGAGCACTGTGACCCTGAACACGTGGCAAAAGACACCCACCCCTTCTCATCGCTACCAAAAGGGCTTTAGTAACGCTTGCTGTTTGAGGGGCTTGGACGTTAGATGATCGGATTCTGCTTCTGTTCCCAGGTAGAACAAGCCCACTGTGCCTTCTTGGGAGGGAGGCAGCCCATTCCTGGCTGCTCAGAGGGGGCAGAGGGTGGGGAGAGGCTGTAGGAAAGAGGAAGCAGGGGAGCCTGATACCTTGCTGTAATTAAGAGCGCCAGCACTTCTTCTCCAATGCCCTCCACGTCTACCACCAGGGCCAGCTCATATTTCTGCACTGTGTTGGAGCATAAGGTCACCTGGGGGTGGGGTGGGGGCGAAAAAGGTGAAAAGTTGCTTTTCTGTAAAGGCCAGTGGAAAGGCTACTCAGATCAGTGTGAATTTTCAAGTGCTTTCACGGCTGGATCCTGTTTTACATTTTTAGTTGAACAAGTTACGTGGTGGGGGGGTCAAGGCATGCTGAGTTTCTTTAAAGGCCAGGTTAGAACTCAAATGGCTCTTAGTACAACAAGCTCGCTCATTCCAGCTAGCCCTCATGAAGTGTAAGAAATGGCCGGGCAGGATAAGTGATAGCAAAGTGATTGCAGGGCAGACTGCTTCCTGACAACGCTGGGCTATTCCGATTAGAAAATCCAATATGTTGATGACAAACTACAGCTGAAGTTTCTCTTAAAGGAAAATAGATGGACACAACTAGGTGACTTCCAGAAAATTGGTTAGCTAGACTAGGAGATCAATTGCATAGCCTTTGTTTTACTGAAAAATCTTCCTTCCTCCAACCCCAAATGCTCCCCATTAGAGTAGCAAATGGCAAGCGCCAGAGAAGGGCTTCATCTAACGCGGCATCTGGCCAGACCGTGGCCTCTAGTTGCTGCTGTGAAGTCTTGCATTTGGGCTTTTGAAAGCCTGGTTACAATTTTTAATTGCGTTAAAATGATTTGTTTTGGCGGAGATGCTTATTAATTCCAGAAAACTGCTTCTGGCATGGGTTAAGGCTTTTCTGTCTATAAATTATGTATCAGATACTAATTAAAATTTTTCAGGTTGCAAAGGGAATCACTGGATGCAAATTCGGGCCCACACAGGCCTGGCTGAAGTGCAGATGGGGAGGGAAAACAGGTGTGGAGGGAGCTTTTCTGAATATAAAGGAAGCAATAAAGTGGAGCTGGAGTCATTGAGCTGGAAAGGAAACATGTTGGATTTGGAAAGAAGCTACTGTGCCAGCGTGCAGAGGGTCCTAATGCACCTGTATACCCTTGTCCATGTGTCTGCCTCTGGCTAGAAGACAGAAAAACAAGAAGTTCTGGTCAAAACTGCTAGAGAGGAGCTAGGGCATTTTCAAGTCTCCCGGTGCCTCCTGGGAGAGCAACGAGAGCAAAGGGGAAAGGGGTAGCAGGAGGGCCGAGTCTTACTGAGTGAGCAACAACAACGAAGAAACCCATGGCAGCAGCTCTTCTCACCAGGAGAGTCACATCTGGCAGTGCTGGGAAGTTATAATGCCCCAGGCTCTCAAACCGCACTGGGCTGGGGGCAAAGTGTACCCAGAGGGGTTTAGGAGGAGGAAATTTGAGGGGAGGCGTTAAAAAACATTTAAAACAAATTTGGGGTAAAACAAGAGTCAGATAACTATTCACTGATAATGACTAAAGAGAAAATGACCATCTTTAGTACGGTAATTCTTTTTTCCTTTCCCAGAGAGCATGGAATCATTTCCATTTAATGTAGCCTCAACCTCGCTGGACCTAACTGTGTAGAGAAGCAAAAAGAAGTGAGGGGAGATGGTGGAAACCTTTCTCAGTGAACAGGGACTTGATTCTGCTGGTGGCGACACTGGGCCATGGCCTCAGCATCCCCCTGCTCTGGCTTCAGAAAGGGCGCAGGAGGGATGCCTGACTGGTCTCCTCACCACTATCCCTTTCAGCTCAGCTTAAATAGCTCATCCATCAGAATAAACTAGATTTCACCTGTGGCATAAACCTGGCAACGGATTGGTTTAGAGTTCTCAAGTAGGAAGGAAAGGAGAATCCAGTTTTCAATGAGTTCTTGGATCTTTATTTTATGGTCAAACTGGTAAGTGCACTATCAGTACAGAGCAGTAGCCTCACTAGAAATAAGAAGAATCCATATTCTGGTGGGGTTAAACATTGGGCTGCTAAGCACAAGGCTAATGGTTCAAACCCTCCAACCACCCCAAGGAAGAAAACTGAGGCACTATGCCCTTACACATCTACAGTCTTGGAAACCCTAGGAGGTAGTTGTACTCTGCCTTGTAGAGTCCCCAAGAGTCAGACTCGAGTCTACAGCAGTGGGTGAATGTTGAGGAGGGCCAGGTACCTAAACAGATGTAAATCCACTGGAGTTGTGGGGATTCCTTTGCCTAGCACACTTGTTTCTGGGTTCTTTCGCTGCATAATTGATTTCATTTGATAGGTCCCACTTTTCTATGTGAATTGTCAGGCACCCTCCCATGCCCCCTGGCCCCCCCTCCCCCTCCAATGACGTGGAGCCCAAGAGTGCAAATCCCAGATGTGGTCCAAATCTCTAGGAGGGAAGTTCACGTGCTTGCTTCCTCCTGGGGGCTGGGGCGCTGAACGTTACCCGAATCGCAGCAAATCCCTGGGGGCGAATGGTGCCACAGCTGGGGGAGATGGTGAATTCCCTTGGCTTCACTGCGGGCGTTCTTTCCTTGTCCCAAGACGTCTTCTCGATGTCTGACTGCTGCTCACAAGTGGAAATACTTGGACTTCCGGGGCCGTCCCCAGGGACACGCAGTTTGAAGGTCATGGGGACCAAGGAGGTATTGTTGAGGGAACAAATTAAGGTGTGAGGAAATCCTAGAAAACAAATAGGAGGTGAGGAATAAAAGCCACCCCACATCGCCCCCATAGTCTCCTCCCTTGCCCCTGGGCCTCCCCCTGTATTAGCTGCTGTTTGGTTGATTCAGACTTGTGTGGGCAGAGCAGAACCACTTCACAGGGTCTTAAAGACTGCCAGATTGCCAGGCCTCTCTTCTAGGTCCTTCTGGGAGGGCTAGAACCTTTTGGCCAATAGTGGAGCACTGAGCTATTGGCATCCTACAGGTCCCATACACCCTCCCCTGGCAACTACCAAATCTCTTACATGAATCATCTACACAGCTCATTACTAGTTCCTTAATTCAACTCACACAACATCTTGTTTTCAAACACACAACCAACGGATGCATTTTCATCCACTCATTGAATAAATATTGTTCATCCAGTTACTAGAAGGCAAGGGAAAGAAGAGATTTAAAACTAGCCCCTGAGAGAATGGGTAGGAAAGAGGGAACCGATTACAAGGAACTATATGTGACCTCCTCCCTGGGGGACAGACAACCGAAAAGTGGGTGAAGGGAGA